GTTGGGCTGTCCTGGCTGACACGCCTCTTCAATGTCGCATGGGGGTCGGGATCAGTGCCCATGGAATGGCAGACCGGGGTGGTGGTTCCCATCTTCAAAAAGGGGGACCGGAGAGTGTGCTCGAATTACCAGGGTATCACACTACTCAGCCTCCCGAGGAAGGCTTATGCCAGGGTGCTGGAAAGGAGGCTCCGACCGCTTGTCGAACCTCAGATTCAAGAGTAGAAGTGCGGATTCCGTCCCGGCCGTGGAACAGTGGACCAGCTCTTTACCCTCGCAAGACTACTGGAGGGGCTCTGGGAGTTTGCCCAACCAGTCTACATGTGCTTTGTGGACTTGGAGAAGGCTTTCGACCGGGTCCCTCGGGGGGTCTTGTGGGGGGTGCTGCGGGAGTATGGGGTGCCGGACCCGTTACAACCGGCGATCCGGTCTCTGTAAGACTGCAGTAGGAGCTGTGTCCGCATTCTCGGCAATAAGTCAGACACGTTCCCGGTGGGTGTTGGCCTCCGCCAGGGCTGCCCTTTGTCACCGGTCCTGTTTGTGATTTTCATGGACAGGATATCTAGGCGCAGCCTGGGGGCGGAGATCGTCAGTTTTGGGGGTCTCGGGATCGCTTCTCTGCTATTTGCAGATGATGTGGTCCTGTTAGCCTCCTCGGATCATGACCTCCAGCATTCACTGGGGCGGTTTGCAGCCGAGTGTGAAGTGGCGGGGATGAGAGTTAGCGCCTCCAAATCTGAGGCTATGGTTCTCTGCCGGAAACCGGTGGATTGCTCCCTCCAGGTGGGGACGGAGTGCCTACCTCAAGCGAAGGAGTTTAAGTATCTCGGGGTTCCTGCACCGGACCGTCTTGGTGAAGAGGGAGCTGAGCCGGAAGGCAAAGCTCTCAATTTACCACTCGGTCTACGTTCCTACCCTCACCTATGGTCACGAACTCTGGGTCGTGACCGAAAGGACAAGGTCGCGGCTACAAGCGGCCGAAATGAGTTTCCTCCGTAGGGTGGCCGGGCTCAGCCTTAGAGATAGGGTAAGGAGCTCGGTCATCAGGAGGGAGCTTGGAGTCGAGCCGCTCCTCCTTCGCGTCGAAAGGAGTCAGCTGAGGTGGTTCGGGCATCTAATTAGGATGCCTCCTGGACGCCTCCCACTGGAGGTTTTCCAGGCACGTCCAACTGGGAAGAGACCCCGGGGAAGACCCAGAACACGCTGGAGAGATTACATCTCCCAGCTGGCCTGGGAACGCCTCGGGATCCCCCAGAATGAGCTGGAACATGTTGCCGGTGAGAGGGAGGTTTGGGTCGGCCTGCTTGGCCTGCTGCCACCGCGACCCGACCCCGGATAAGCGGTGGAAAATGGATGGATGGATTCTGCGTGGACGTATTCATTTGCTTTCACTGCCAACGATGCTGGCTTACCTGTATGCTTCCAGAACAAGCACACAGCATGTGCTGAAAAGTGTCATGCTGGAGATGAGCGAAAAAGAGCGATTTCTCAGCTGCTGCAGCAAACTCTCCTCTTCATAAGAGTTTGATATTGTTATATCAGGTAAAATTGCAAAAAAAATGTCAAGAATTGTCTTTATTCTTGTTCTATATTTTCATAAATAAAACAAACTATAGTTTTTGTATATATAATGTAACTATGTATACAACTTTATAAGCTGTGATATCAAATAGCTTTTGCGGCTCCAGACTAATTTTATTTGGTGTAAAATAGGACAAAATGGCTCTTTGGATAGAAAAGGTTGCCGACCCCTGTCCTATACTAAGTATATGCACACTTATGAATCCTTGTATCCTTTATATCACAATAAAGAAAAGTTCACTCTTTGTGAGTGTGCATGAGAAACAGGATGTCGAGCCAGTTAGTTAGGAAAAGGGAGCTGTCAATAAAACATGAGGGGACAGGGAGATATAGTATAAAGGGGGAGTCTGATGGATGGCTAACAATTGATCATTTAGAAGACAGGAACCCAAGGTTCGTAACCTGTTCTCATGCACAACTCATCCCAAAATGTTATGAAAGAATGTCAGTAATGTGTTTTTCTCGCCATCCAGGCACTGTCACAGTGGTTTCGTTGTTCACTTGGGATAAGGCTGGTCAGCATAGGGTGCACAGAGGCCTGGGTGATAGCAGCGAGAGGATACTCAAAGGAATAGGTAGAGGGCTAGGAACAGATGTGTAGGATTTCTAATGGGTAAAAAACATAAGCAGGTCACTATGATCTGTGGCGTGAACCAGAGGAAGATGGTTGGGAAGGAGGCTGGTGATTAATCAGACACCCGGATGTGTGTGCCTAATTCAGGAGCTTAGAGGCAGGTCTCTAGGGACAGATAAGTCACCAAGACCTGGGCCAGAACAAAGCTATAAAGTGATGTGTATTTCTATTGTGACGTTAGTTGAACCTGGGACAACTCGATTTGCTTGTGCTCTGTGTGATACAAAAAAACCTACATGGAGTGAAGACAATCCAATCTCTATTGTGTTCTGTGGGTGTTCATTAATGAGTTCCTGATAGTGAGACCCTGTGGTGTCTCACCATTAGTCAGATAGCTGAAAAGTTATTAAGTTAGCAGTAAGATATTAAGACTTGAGCATAATCAACGAAGCTGCTTATCAAAAATCAACCACTACATTTGGCGAGCCACCAGCCGAGCCACAGCCGATTCAATCGGGACGGCCTTTGCGGGACAGCCTTTGCTCTCTCACAGATTGAACGCGCAAAGCGAGCTCAACATAAAGGTAACAGGAATACTTTTTCTAAAATTTTCTGCATTGGTAGTTTCGGTCTGTGAAGAGGAAGGGACGACCGTGGCGATGTGGCAAGTCCCCCGGGAAGTCCTAAAACTGTAAGACAGGAACCTGTATTCAGTAGCATTGTTTAAAACCCCACTAATATTTACGATAGTAAGACTTGAGCATAATCAACGAAGCTGCTGATCAAAAATCAACCACTACATTTGAAGTGTCATTTTAGAGCAACATTATAGGGACTGATCATAGAAATAGAGCAGAGGGGACATTCCCATTCAAATAAATGTAGCAGGATTGTTTGAGAGGCGTCCAATTTTATGTGTAGAGTTGCCATTGCGACCGTTGTAGCTGGCTAACTTCCTTATAAACTAAATTTGCAGCAAATCGTGGACTCACTGAGGTGAGGTTTTGCAGTAACGAATAAAATGAGGATTGGGGTAGTAGTAACATTACAAAACATAGAGAGCCATAGTAAATGAGTAAAATTGAACAACTTATTGCTTCATCCCAGCCCAGTATCGTGGCAGGTCATGAAATAGTCACGAAACAAACAGGACTTTGGTGACTTTCAACCATGTGGCATGACCCAAAGTGTTGTTGTGGTTTTGTTGCTTAAACTCAACTGTACGTAGTTATTTATTAGTTTTATTGCAGATTGTTTTGTTATGTAATGTGGTCCTGAAAAAAAATTCATACTGAGGGACATTGAAAAACAAAACAAATGAGCCATTAGATTGTTTGCTGACTTTTTTACGGCCTTGTGACTGTGTTGTTAATCCAGACTCATATCACAGCGCAGGAAAGTACAGTGCAATCGCCAGATGAGTGACAACTTTGTTCGGCTCATTTACTGTAACCAATGTAGCATTAAAGCAAGATTAGCAAGCTAGATAGCTGGCTAATGAGCCGACAATTGGTTAGTTAGCTGGCTTGCTAATTCTATCATGCTTTAATGCTACACTGGTTTGAGAAAATGAGCAAAACAGAAGGCTGGTGGGTCTAACAGTCCTTCAACCTAACTTCCTGCTGCTCCGGAGAAAGGCAAGCTACCTAGCTAACTAGCCAGCCATCCGTCTCCAGGGCTGGGCCCGCTCTCTTCCTGGCAAGCTGCGACAACAATTTACGCCTGCATTTTCTTTTGAACTACCATGGAAAAAAGTTCAATGTCTGTCCTACTCCTATTCTATTTCTGTTGGCCTGATTATTTTCCTTATGTATCTGTGGACTGACCTGTGAGTCGATGACAAAGATTAGCGCTCCAGTGCCTCTGAAGATCATTTCATAGTCAAAGGTGGGGTCGAAAAAGTCGATCTGGCCAGGGAAGTCCCAGATCTGGAAGCTGACGAAGGAGATGCTGGACACGTCCTCTCTACAGATCTTGTTGGTGCTCTCCAGGAACAGGGTCTCGTTGGGCAACATTTTATGGAAAACCACCTTCTGGATGGAGGACTTCCCACTCCTCCTCAGGCCCATCAACAGTATTCGCGGTTTGACCTCTCCGTTCAGAGAATCGCTGAAGCCCAACACTATACAACAGCAAAGGAACAGAGACATTAAACAGATTAACGGGGGACTGAGTTTACATGACAGGAGTATAGGAGGATATGGCCTGAAAATAATATCATAATATGGCAGAGTGATTCTGAGATAACAATATTCATGACAATGTGATTAAATACTAGCAAATACTACTAAATCAAAAGTTTTACAACCAAACCAGACCAAATTTACTTGTGTACCAAAATACTCTTTCCCCTGTGTGTGTGTGTTTGTCACATTCTTGCTTTGACACTCTGACCTTGATGGCTCCATGTTGAGGAATGTCGAATGTCAATGTACAGTAAATAAGTCAATGAAACAGTGTTTGGTAAAACAACAGCTCCCACTGTATCTTAACTCCTGCTGACTCCCTCTCAATATAAATGGCATATTCTCATTTTATATTCCAGAACTGAAGAGCTAAAGGCCTCTGAGGTTGCAACTATTTACATACCCATTTGATAAACACACACTCATGTCCATTCCCTCCTCTCTATCACGTATCTCCTGACTGGAAGTAATTTGAAAGGGACAAAGAGAGGAGACAGAGTTCAGACAGCTGTTTGCTTCGTATCATCTTATACCTTTCATGATAATCAGTGGCCCTCTATCATCCACACGGCAGTCCAACAGCCAATCACAGAAGACTAATGCATCAAAGTTCAAATAATAAAATAAAAGCTATTAATCCATTTGTCCTATCCTTTATTGTACAGCTGAAACAACTAGACTACTACAGATTAGAAACTGTGATGTGACTGAGATTTTTCACTTTTCTCTGACGTTAAATAGACTAAATGATTGCTTTGAAAAATAAAATCAATAACAAGACTAAAAGTCTAGCAACGCTTGCATTTCTTTGAGCTTGTGTAGTATAGATACAGCGGTGCTTTGAGTGAAATGCTAACATGCTCACAATGACAATGTTATCATGATAATGCTAAGCTGATGTTTAGCATGTATAATGTTTACCACGTTCACTATCTTATGTTAACATGCTTATACGGCAGATGTGGCGATAAAAATAATCATTAGTTGCAGCCCTACCATATTTACTCAAATGGTATGTTTTGCTTAGAGCAATGCGATCTTTTTCTAGAAGGCCCTGTTAACATTCACACAGTTGAGCTGCCAGAACACTTCATCAGAACTGCCAAACGGCTTCTAGACCCCTCCCCCCACACCTTTCTGATGTGCTGTGACCATAGACTGGATAGAAAGATGGAGGACATGACAGATCCAGAAAAGTGAAGCCAAAACATCTCGATTGCCCCCTGGTGGCTGGCTGCAGTACAGGTCATAAACCCCGCCCCCTCCTTGTTAGCTGATGGGACATGCAGCAAATCCAAGTGCACATCAAAAATAAATTCTCAAAGATGGTTTCTGTCATTTTAGGAGTGGTATCTAGATGGTCACCCTAGATCAGGGGTGGGCAACCTTTAATATCCAAAGAGCCATGTTGCCCACTAATGGTTACATTACCAGCTGACGCAGAGTGAAATAGTGTTATACAGAAAGGAGGGGAAAGAACAGATTAGCTAACGTTAGGAGCAGTAACGTAACACTCCGCAGAGACGTCTCAGAGCAAAGCAGAGCGCCCCCCCCCCTTCCCTCGCTCTCTGCCCGTATGTGACCTTCCTCAGCAGCGGAAATATCCGCCTACCTCCGTCCTCACAGCCCAGCTCGGCGTCTGAAAATGCCTTCAGGTCATCTTCGTCGTCGTAATATCTCGCCGCAGCCGAGTCTTCTTCCTCCTCGTTGTCCTCAACGCTCAGCGCTGCGCCCCGCTTGCTCGTCATGCCGACTCCCTCTCCTCGTCGTTGGGTTTGGATTTAATGCGCCTCGCGGTGTCCAACTTTCCCCACATTGTCACCGGATACGTGAGAGCCATGCCGGTGACCTTTCCCCCCGCTGCCTCCAGTCCGACACACTGCAGCTGCACGGCGAGGGGTCCAGAAGTATTTCTATTTCTGTCGGCTTTCTGAATCAGACCAAATCAAGTGCCTGTCATGTCAACATCTAAAGAGAAAAATGTTTTGTAATATATTTATATTAAAATAAATACAAGAGATTCAGCCATGTTTTTTTGCTACCAATATTGATAATAATAATAGATTGGCTTTGTGCCAATCTATCAACAATCCTATTCTTTCCTATTCTACTTAAATATGGAAAATTAAAAAGATCCCTTGAATGTTCAAATCCTGATTCTGAAAAAGTAACAAAAAAGCTTCTGTACATCTACACATTTCTGAAAAGACATTGAAATAGGGAAAACTCAAGTCAATACTTTGTTGTATGAAATAGGTATAAAAGTAAATATGTGTGTTGCTTGTGCAAAGTAACTTTTCTCCTCCATTTTTCTCTACAATAAACTTCCGCCTCCGGTCAATGTAGGAATGCTATTTAACGCATCATGTATCGGGGGTCAAAGTTCAACTACTTTAACAAAGTACTTTAATGGTTGTTGAACTTGGGTCCAGTCGGATCATTTCTGGACGTGGAACAGACAACATGTGACCCTTTAACAACCAAAACCAAACCGGAGCGTCATTAGAAGGACTTTAAACTCACATGTGCAGATATGTGTTCAAATATGAGCAAATGATCAGTTTTCATGTGGCCCACACACAGAGAGATGAAATGATGAAGATCACTGTGATAAATGTATGATAGGTCTCATAATTTTAAGAATTTTACCAAAAGTACTCTTTATTGATATTGTTCACAATCTATTTTTTCTATTAAAACAAGATATTTGAAGTCGTCACATTGGACATTTTTTAGTGTCCTCAGCTGTTGCTATGTCGGTCTGAAGGACACTGCTTTTATGTCTTCCACAAAACAATCTCAACTCAAGGTCCCAGCTTGTTCTGGAGCTTTCAACAGTACCTCACCGTCTTCATCAGCAGATGGAGTTTTCTTAGTTGTTCAAACTTCAGCACTTTAAGGAATTTTTGACCACGTTGGTTTAAAAGTCGAAATTGGAACTTCGTCCTTGATCTCATAGTCAGCAGTTTGACCAACGGCTGAAGGCCACAAACATTTCACTAGCACTACTCCATCTCGGTCTCTTTAACAGTATTCTCATGGCGTCACTGTAAGCTACTTGAAGTCTCTGTAAGCTCTTTTTTTTGTAGTTTGACCACAAGTGTGCATTAGAGTGGTGTACAATATACTCTCAACAGAGACATCTTCACTCCATCTGTACACATACCAAACTTGCGTGAGAGACTGTTTGCTTGTGCATACATCATACGACATTGTCTAGAAATGTCGTTATCATCGGTCATGTGTTCTGTTATGAAATGACCAAGATATTTTACTTCACTACAGACACCAAGATTATTGTCAGACAATTTGAAGTCAGGGAAGTTTAGACATTTGTCCTCTTTAGTTCGACAGATCAGGATAGCACTCTTACTGGCGTTGTATTTGATGTCATGTTCCACACCATACACAGTAGGCTACATATAGTGAGGAGCTGCTGAAGACCAGCGCTAGATGGACTAAAGATCACCAGATCATCTGCATACATGATGTGATTAACCAGAGTATTTCCAATCATGCACACAGTATTACAGGCTTTCAATTGCTTGGACAGATCATGAATATACAGATTAAACAGAATTGGGGACAAAATTCCCCCTTGTCGGACACCATTGCTAACCCTAAATGGGGCTGAGACACTTTTATCCCATTTTACTTGCATAGTCTGGTGTGCATACCAGTAAGCCAGAATTCTCACAATGTATGTGGGGACACCTCTTTGGCTAAGTTTTATAAACAACTTACTATGATTAACACGATCAAAAGCTTTGGAGGCATCAATAAAACACATAAGAAGTGATGAGTTTTGACCTCTGTATTTGTTGACAATTTCCTTTAAGGTACACAAGTCAGTGCCATGTTTGGCTTTAAAGCCGAACTGGTTATCTGTGGAGGTGATAAAGTCATGTATTCTGTCCAGCAGGATTCTTTCTAGGACTTTTGACAGTACACTGGCCAAAGCAATGGGCCTGTAATTCTCTGGGCTACATACTTTACCAGCTTTGTTTTTAATGACTGGCACTAAGAGAACAGACAGCATTGAGTCTGGTAACAAGCCGTGAATCATGAAGCCAGTAAAACAAATAGCGAGGAGAGGAGCTAACCTATCTACTAGCATATTTAAGGTGTTCAGCAGTAATATGGTCTAAACCACTTGCTTTGCCTTCAGACAGTTTATTTATAGCTTGGTGCACCTCATATGACGTAATTGCCATTGACTCATTACTCTCAGAATTGTCCACGTTATACAAATCACTTTTGATACAGTTGAATAAGGTGCTATAATGCTGTTGCCATAACTCAGCAATGTTGTCTGTTCCTGAAATTCCATCTCTAGTGCATGGTAAAGATGTTTTACAGTTAAGAGCTCTCACTTCTTTCCAAAAATCAACAACGTTGCTGCTTAGCAGCTTCTTGGCCATGGAGTCAGCCCTCATGGTTTGATCATTTTTGCAAATGAAGTGAATGACATATTTATATCTAGCAATGGTAAGCTTCTTGTACTCAAGCACTGGCCCTTGTCTGGGTCTACCAGCTATAGCCCATGATTTGAAAGCTTCACAGGCTTCAGCACGATACTCAGCTACATACTCGTTCCAGCCAGGTTTGATGTTATGGGTCTTATTTTGATGCTTGTAGTAGGGCTTACTGTCTTTATACAGAGCACTTACTATATCATTGTACATGAAGCAGAGATCTCTCCTATGCACCACATCCTTACAGTTAACGTCAGTACACATAGCTGCATCTCTAGGTAGATGAATATTACTGAAGGATTGGTCTGTACGAGCAGAATACACTAAGACGTCCTCTTCAGTGAGAGTTGACCAGTCAAGTTTTTCTGTGTTGACACTATTTCCATTTCTAGATAGCGCCGGTAGATATTCAACATTTATCGACATAGCAAAAGGTATATGATCAGTTGTTGCTGCTCCATAAAGAATGCCCATACATCCCAATGAAGCATGTGCATCAGCTGTACTAATACAATGGTCCAGCCATGATGTAGTGTGCCAGGCCTCACTAATGTATGTATAGCTATCTGTAGGTAAAAGCACTTTGCTTGATAATATAAAATGATTGTCTTTACAAAACTGAGCCATGTGCTTTGCAAAAAATGAGCTTGTGTCTGAGATATCTGCATTCATATCCCCAATGACATATATACTAGAAGAAGTATTATCTTGAATGAAGGAATTGATGAAGGCCAGCCTATTTAGATATTCATCCTCATTGTGATTGCACTCATAGGGTGTATAGACATTTAGGATAATGAATTCCTTATCATCATGAGTAAACTGTATTGCAACACACCAGT